TTATTTTTACAAGTAGAATAATTCCCTTCATTATTTACTCTTAATCTTTTATTTATTAAATTTACTCTTAATCTTTTATTTATTTACTCGTAATCTTATTCTTATTTTTGAAATGATAGAAGTGGCCTTGAAATCTTGAAAACGCTTCCACCTAGATAAATCCAATGGCCATCGTAAAATGTCTCTTTCGAAACATTTTAAATTTTATTTGAAACATTATTTGCGATAACGAATACTTTGAGATAATCGCGTGGAAAGATTAAAATGGAACACCCTATATATGTATGTATATAAAAATTATTCCGTGTGCATCTATTATTCTATAAGTGTCCGAATACTTTCATGAATCACTGTGTAGTTACGTGTCTACACTCATACTTAAGTGTATACCTGTACGACCTTAAGTTCTAGTTGTGGCCCGAATAGGTATTGTGCAACACGCTAATCAAAAGCAACGTATAATTCTATCTACAACAAATCCAATGTCATCGCCTTTGAAATGAAACATTTGTATCTTTAGTGGAGCTATTTAAACCCGAAATAACTCACTATGGAACAAAACTACTACAAGTTGCATGGCCTTTAAGGGATCTAATAATAACTACACACTTTAGTGAAATGACGATGCTAATTTTCACACAAATTAAGGTTTCGTCAAGTGACAAATTTAACATAGAATTGAATAATATTGAAATCTTTATTTATTTGCGTTGAAATTTTAATTATATTTGTAAAAATGTATGTGTGCAAATTTATATAATTATAACGAGCTGTATCGTTTTCTTTGTTTTTTAATAAATGGTTAGACTATATATTCACGATTATATTTTTTTATATATATAAGTACGATAATACATGTATATTTTTTAGATAAGAACATTTTCTTTTTTCTTATATAATTATATCAAATCGTAACTTGACATAAAAAGATACTAACATTAGAACCATCAGTTATTATTACGCATTAAAATATTCTTCATATAAATCATTGGAATTTAAATAATAATTAAAATGAATAGATCTATACAATCATTCGTCTAAATCCATCTACGTTTATAGAGAAATCATTATTAATTTTGACAAAAATATCCGTCATATTTATTTTGGGTTTGGTTAAATATTTGCTGAAATCAGTCATATTTACGAGTTTGCTAATATGAAGTTAACATGGTCAAAGATTGAAAGACAAGGAAAACAAACTCAAAAGGAACAGGTTACAACTTTCCTTGTCTTTCAGAGAATAAGTTTCACAAGTTAAAATTAAAATTTACACTATTTAATTAAACCAAAATTTAAACTTCCATCCACGTTATTTTATACTTTTTTTTACATAGATTTGATATGTGCAAAAGAATGGTACATTTCTATTTGAAATAATTGCAAAATGCACATACGTTATTGTATTTACGAAAATATTAGGTTGATGTATATGAAATATTATTTTTTAAATTTGTATAACTTGATCGTAATTATTTCTATATGTATCCAGTGCACTTTTCTAACTAGTAGATTCCACAGTTATAAGAATTATAAATTAAAAAATTAAAAGATTTTTGAAATGTAATTATTACATATACATGTAATACATATATTACAGTGAAATGTAATTATTACATATACAGTGTTTTCCATTTGTCACCTGTTTTAATTAATTTGTGTATTAAAAAATTATCTAATTGTAATGAAGGATATTTATAATCTTTCCCAAATACTAAATGTATGTATGTTTCTCAGTGCATATCTGTTAAATAAACTAATGTAAAAAAATAATGCTCTAATCATTTATGCTGATAAAATATATATAAAATAAATAAAAAGGTTTTGATGTTCTATTTATAAATTTTTTTAATATTCTACATATAACTGTAGTTTTTAATATTCTATATATAAATAATTTAAATAACAATGATTGAAATAAGTAGAGCTGTACAATCATGTCTCTATCTAAAAATATCTGTATCTTCTCAGCAATTGTAAGAAAAAGAATTTTAAATTTTTTATATTGGGTTATAAATGATTTATAGCGAATTTCTTCTTCTTCCATGTAATTGATAATTGACAACTGATAGATTCAATCTTCGAAGAAGCTATGTTTCATACACATCAATATAATAGTGTACGTGTTTATGCATATGAAGTCATTCATCTTCTTCTTGTCCTAACATTTTTTTTTAACTTCAAGCAAAAGACAGATTATAGTTTATAACACAGTGATTATTTGTAACAGTTGCATCCTGTATATAAAAAGAAAATTGACATTAATGTAGAAATTAAAGAGCGCACTATATCGTGACATAAGTTTAAGATAACAATTTTTCGAAATTGCTTCTTTCCCAAGTCGAAGGCGGGAAATACGCTTCGATGGCGTGACTAATCACGACATACGTAGCAATCCAATCACGCATACGTGTTAATCCGTCAATAATATCTCTATGTTAAAACAAAAATAATTTCCATTCATACTCCTACTACCACTATTTTTTATTTATTAAAGACCTCACGTTCATAAGAAAAAAAAAAATTGTTATATCATGTACAAATGACAAACGAACAGTCAATGCCTTCCATCATAGAAGGGAAATAGTGAATGAATGAAATAGTTGTAGGAGTAACGGAGGTGTGTCAACCAACTGACATCATCATAAGAGTTTACTACTATTGTAATTTATGTATAAAACTGAATATACAAAATCACTTTGCAAACGTTGAAATCGACTGAATATCAAAAAGCAATATACATTACTTACGATGATTTTACTGTCATATTAAATTATGACAATTCAACCTCACGATAAGATACCTTACATTTTGAAAGTAGTAACTTTCGATATGATTTATCTATTTTCAATATAAATATATCTAATCATAAAATATAATCATTAGTCAAATAAGAAATCGTATGTACTTATAAAAAAAAATTTCTATCTTGTTTTTTTTTATTTTTTATATTAAATAATGTTAATCCAACATTAATTTATTGAGATGGTTTGTAAGAGCAGAATAAAAAAGCTAGATCATTAGATTCGCAGAATTATTTAAACATTATGTACATATGTAGTATTAAAAAACTGAACCTTGAAAAAGCTCATTTTCTTGTTATACATTTTATTATACATTATGGTTACGACAAGATTAATAATCTTTGTTGTTAATTAGCTATTGCTAATTGAATAATCATGTAGATATGTTCATATTCGCAGAATTACAGAAGCAAGAAAATTATTAGGAATACGAGTTAATTACAATTTATATTTAATCTTTCCTTTATCTATTTCTAAAAACATTTAAGTGGAAATAACAAATTGAAAATATTTAAGAAGTAATTATTTTCTTATTCTCATATGTATTAATTTCAAATATCTATAAGTGTAAAATTATGAATAAAATTAGCCATATCTCAAAAATATGTTACCAAATAAATTGTAGAATATATGAATATTTTTTCACCTTTAAACACACAAATTCAATTAATTAAACTAAACACACAAATTAATTAAATTAAATTAATTTTTGTTATTTAATAAATTTATACTGTAATGAATTAAAGTCATTTCACTAACTTTATTAAACTAATTAATAAATTAAATTAAATATAAGAAAATAGTAGATAATTTATATTAGTTTTAATACAGTGGTCAACGATGCAATGACTAGCGTTCCTATTTTATTGTATACTATTCTATTTCTATAAATATTTTATGAATTTCTATAAATTGTATTTTTACAAATATTATAAATAATTAAAGTAAAGCGAATATTAAAATAAGACTGGCTTAAAAAGAATTTTAAGTAACACTTTTATTCTAAAATTAAATATTCTGCCCACAAACAAAACATGTTGCAGTCAATATGTTAATAGAAAAGCACGCTATCAAGGTAATAAACTTTTTCAAACAACTTTTATAGTAAGTTTCACTTTATCAAAGTATTATAAAATATTAATAACAATATTAACCAGAAATATATATATATATATATCATAATAAATTATAATAATTTATTAATAAATTGATTCAATTTAGAATAAAATAAAAAAACTGTACTTTTAACATTGGTACTTCAAAAATGTAAACTATTGGGATAAATATATATATACTAAAATTTTAATCACTATAACAACAATAAAATAATATCTTTTGTTAATATAAAATCAAGGTAGTATTTTTATTAATTAATCTAAAATAATTGCATTAACAACAATAATGAATAATTCAGTTTGCACAAAGAAAAAAGAAATTTTAGCTTAATAGCATATTATTATTCATCATAAGTCAAAATAGAGTTAAACCATATTCCATTGACCGACCCTGACTGTCTGAAGGTTGTTTCTTACTTGATTTCTAGTGATTTATTCTAATTTTAGAAAAATACGGACATTAATGCAGGAAGAACTGCTTTACAAAAGTCATGAGATGTAAAATAAGAATTGAAATTTACACAACACGGATATAAATAACTATTCATTTCGACTATAAAGAAAGTGCAATTACCTATAAAATTAATAGCCACATTACGTACGTATTCTTAGTGAATTTTATCAGTCGAAAGACTATTAAAGTTACGCGCTAAAAACTTTATAATCATAGATTGCGTTCACGATAAAAATTCTTTATTGAGATTTCTTTTTGCTTTTCAATTTTCTTTTTAACAGAATCTTACAATATTTCTTTGTAAAAATCGTTCACTTGATGAAACGTGAAAATATACTAATAACAAAGTTAAAAATAAATTTCATCGTGAATTTCACTTGCAAGAACTAATTACAATTATATCACGTTCTGCCGGTCACACTAGTATCGAGATCTGTAACCGGTAAATGATAGAAAGCTGACTTAGCAGAAACGTCTTAATCCCGAATTAATTCAACGTCTCGATCCAGTTCGGAACAGGATTTTCAACTTGTGCCTGAATTTTCGAATTGATTCACTTCGAAAATGAAACGGAGTTACTCGCGGATAGAAAGCTTTTTCTAAATGTCTTGTGAAACCACGTGTCCTTACCTCCCAGACTCCAGTCGTTTGATATGTTATCCTACCGAGATATCCTTGAAGCGGCAAAATATCCTTGAATTATTGGGTTCACCGGCACTCGGGGAAAAGGTGAGGAAAGAACTGATAGAAACGTTATCGATGCAAAGTGTAATAAAAGAATGGTATCGGAATTTTGATAATACTCGAAGGTCGTTCGATCGGTTGTAGCGAAGGGGTCAGTTGAGGACCGGGGCAAGGCTGGTGCGCGCGAGATGAATTCGCGGCAAGATCGAACCGACGTAAGATACGATCTACCGTAGCCTGAAGCCGAGTTAGGACTGTGGACTCTGACAGTCCCACGAGCGAGAGAACGTAGTCAGCGAGCAGGGCTGCCAACTCTCCCGCTCGCTCTCTTGGCACGGTGGCCCCACCACGTATTCGTGATGCACACTTTAGTAGTGATAGGTGTGCGCGATCTGTCTCCTGGGGAACCGGTGAAATCATTCTGAAGAACGCCAATCTCCCAGGTATGTCTTTTACGCATGTATGACGAAATGCTAAATAACTACGAAATCTTGTTTCCTATTTCTCTTATCCTTTTCTCTGTTAGTCGGCGTTACGTAATTCGTTCTTAAAAATATTAATTGATATTTGTGAGCAATTGCGAATGTTCCTATTTTTTTTTTTTTTTTTTTTTTTTTAAAATAAAAAAAAAAAAATGTAACTTATGTAGAAAATTATTCTATTTATTATATGAGGGTACTATTTATATATAAACGTATTGTACTTCGAATATTTTATACATTGTTGTATTGTTACATTGTGTATGTGATGATATGTTAAATAATTACGAAACCTCATTTCCTGTTTCTTTTGTTTAGTCTATTAATTGACGTTACATAATTCGTTCCGCTTCTATTAATTTATATTCGCATGTAATTACAAAATTGTAAATATTTATATTTTTATGTACTTTAAGATAATGAAAAGAATAAAAAAGTAGAAAATTATTGCATTCATTGAGTGTTATAAGAGATACTTTCAATGTTTTGTATATTTTTGCTTATCGAATGCATTGCTTGCATGTATGACATACTAAATAATTACGGAATCTTGTTCCTCATTTCTTTTATCCTTTTATCCTTTTTATTCTTTCTTTCTATTAATCCCGCTTCTATTAATATTTATTAATATTTGTGAATAACTACTAGAATATGGATATTTATGCAGATTATTTAAGAAATAGGTAAAAGATTATTGTATTTATTAAATATTATAAGGAATATTATACTTTAAATATTTTAAATATTTATATTATATGCGTTTTTCGATTTCCTTTATCCATATATAATGAAATACTACTTAATCATTTGTTTCTCATTTCTTTTATCCTTTTTCCTATCATATATATATATATATCAGTTGACATATATAACTGATTTATAACTATGATTATTTATGCAATCTTTTATGAAGATAATAAAAAAATTGAATCTAAATAGAAAATTATTTATATATAAATATATAATATAATTTTACATATTACGTGCATTGTATGTATTTTTGCATTTTTAAATTCTTTATAAATATATAAAATCTGCAACCTATTAATTGTTTCTTTAGTTTAGTGATTAGAATTTAAATGATATATCTGTTCCACAATTTAGCAATTTTAAAAAGGGTTGGTAATACAATTCAATGTAAGTGAAACCATATAAATATGTTTTCTTAACTCAATCAATATTTATAAAGAAATTGCGGATTTATATTTTTACGAAGATAATGAAGATAGAAAATTATTTCATCTATTAAAATATTATAAGAAATATTGTACTTTGAATATCTCATCTTATACATAAATACATAAAAATTTGCATTACTTATAAATTAATAAAAAGTAAAAGGACTCGAATAACAAATATTGATCACGAAAATTCAAATAAACGTAAGCGTAAAGATTTTACACATACCTGTAAGTGATTATTCATAGCAATCTCGACCAATCGATTATCTGGAGCATGTTTAATTATTCACTTACTGTTAGCAATTTATGTTATGCGCGAGATTGCAATCACGGTGATTATAACATTGCAGTCATACAATTATATTTCATGTTAATGTTGGATATAAATACAAACACTCTGTCATATATAAATTATTGTATACAACAGTCTAAATATTAGTCATGTTATTATTTATTATTATTTATACAAGAAAATTTACGTTTAGAAAATTAAACCACGTATATTGATAATCACTTCATTAAAGAACAGCTGAAAAAAACGTTTAAATAAAATTTCCAAAAGTATATGCAATGAATGTAAAAAAAATTTATATAGTCTTATAATAATATAGTCTTAAAATATGATATAATCTATATAGTATTAATTTCTTAAATTTTTATATAGTATTAATTTCTTAAATTTTATTGAAATTTAAAATAAAACTTAAGAAAATAACATCAACCCTTAACCGATGTAAAATTAAAAAGTAATAATTTGTAATTGCAAAATATGTATATATGTTTATAAACTTGTAAATAAATATAACAGTAAAAATTTATATCTAAAAACTTACATTATAATTGAGACATAGAAACAAGTTATAATTCACTAATTATTTAATTAATTTTTGTTATAGAAATAGGTAATGAATACTTAATTGTCTTTTAGTTGAATAAAAAATAAAATATTTCACTTTTATGTCGTATAATTATCAGTTAAATTTGCAGTGAATATATTATTCACTTTAGAGCATTGAAATTTATATAAAATTTATGTCATTAATTAACAATAAAATTACCCATGACTAAAATATAAAATTTGTGCCAGAAAAATTAAAATGCAAAGAATATTGTTTTATAACAAAGAACATATATTTTTTTATGAAAAATCAATCACCGCTATAAATCTATAAAATTTCTCTGAAAAATTATAAATTGTTCATTTTGATCACATTGATAAATCTATGATATGTATCAATATATATTATATTTAAATTAATATATTTAACACTAGAATTAAAACTAGAAAATAGTTAAAATATAACAAAACGTAAAATATTAAATATTGGAGAATATTAAATTTATCAATTTAAATAATTAATTTAAATATATTAATATTAATATTGTAATTTAGCTATATTAATTTAAACATATAAACTATTACATTAATATACTACATTAAATATCACTTACTTTCGCGCTATAACTATAAGATTACCAATCACTGAAATCGTAATGAAATTTCAAAGTATAATTGAAAAGAATATTTTACGTTGCAAAGCATCCTATTAGGACTCACATTCTTTACGAGTAAACTTCTACTAACATCTACTAAAGATAAACCACGCGTACATAAAACGTAATTCGCAACGAATGAATAGCAATAGAATGACCGATTAAAATGACTTTACGAGCGGAAATAAAAAATACATTAATTTTTTTAGACTATCCTCGGTAGTCTTGTTTCACAATGAGCGAGGCATTCGATTATCGATTATCACTTATTCGCGTCTCCATCATCTCGAGCACTGGCGCAGCGAAGAGAATTCTCTGAGGTGGCTTCTGGTCTATGACTTATTGTTAGTCATATCGACCGACACTCGTCGTATATTTTCTGACCCAGAAAAAGATTCCTACGAGCGGAGAAGCAGAGTGAATCGAGTTGAGTTAAACGCCTAACATGTCTATTGCTTCACTGTTGGTAAGCATACGACTATTACAAATCGACGATTAGGATATTATTGCAAGTCAAATGTTACTTGGTCAGGGATCATTGCCGTCAACTTTTTTATGATCCTCTTTATGGTCAACTTTTGTTTTGAATCTGGAAAACTTAAAAAAGAATCGAAATTTTATAAAAATTTAATTATATATTGATATTAAATATTTTAATTTTTAATATGTAATCTTGTACCGATAATGATATATGAATTATTTTTTCAGAGTATATTTCAAAGTAAATATTGATATACATATATTTGATACATATAAAGGTACTATTTGATATTTTCTAGAAATCCGTCTTTTTTTATCATACTTATCTAATATACTTATCTTTGTTACATAAAATAATAATATTGATAAAGTATATCAGTATTATAGAGAAAAATAATATAAAACAAATTACACACCTTTGTTTATCTTAAACTATTGCAACCTTTGAAGACATTCATAGATAGGCTACGAAATTTTATGTATTTTCATATTTTTGTAAGCATAATTAAAAAAATGGAACCTAAATAAGAATTTATTTCATTTATTATATATTACAATAAATAACTTTAGATATTTCTGTATATATGTCTTCCAATTACACATAAACTTGCAGTCCAGTTAAATAAATATCATGTACTTGTAAACGTTACTTATAAATAGACATTTGGAAACAATTAAAACTCGCAAAACTATAATTTAGAATAAATCATCTGATGATTGTGTAATTTCAGAGCTCATTATTTAAGATTCACAAAAAAATAAATTAACATTATGAGCAAATACCGTTTTGCGTTACAACCTTGGCATGTAAAGCGACCAGTGACACAGGTGTGAATGCGATATATGTAATATCATTTCCTTTAGCAACCTACGTCTGACTTGTGAGACGATCAATTATAATTATTCTTAAGAGAAGAAAAATATAGCAAATATTTATTAGCATTTGCTTGTTAATTTAATTGACAGATTACCTAAAAAGAAAGAATATAAAATAAGTATAAAAATATATTTTAAAATTACAGACATATAAAGTAATGTATTAATAAAATAATGTATTATAATTTAAAAATCAAACTTTTAGACCGTGCTTTTATTTTAATTTTATATGATATTTACTCATCAAAATAGATACTAATTTTATGTATATACGTATATAAAAGCAAACACGGTCTAAAAGTTTGATATATATATATAAACAGTATTTTGAAAATATATTCTTCGTAAATAAAAATCATAGAAAAATGTTAAGTTGTTTGAACGCGTTAAACGATCATTATGATTTTATAAAGATTGGTTACAATACTTACAATCCTATTAAAGCTACATGCATGGCAATGAGCCTGAGTATAACAAAGTTAGTGGAAGAAACAATGATTGCAGTTTATTGCATTATGCATCACATGTATAATACTTCGCTCTAGCTTCGTACTTTCTTCAGAATGTTTTTAAATTAACATCGTTTAAATACGCTGTGCTATTTTTCAATGTTCTTTGTAAAGAAACACATCTATTAAGTCATATTACTTTCCCAATGAAATTTTAAACTTGAATCAGTTTCTTCAAATTTTATTCGCTTGCAATAATTGATGTATAAGATCGGTATACAAGGAGTGCAAATTAATATACAGCGGATGATTTTAAATGTAATTTTATTACAAGGTATAAACTTTAAGAACTTTTATTTTCCAAACAGCGTTAAAAGAGAAACTATACAAACGCAAGTTTCTACTTTCTTCCGCTTTCTTTTCCCGTTCCTTTCTTTTTCCAGTTTCGATTCCTGAATACATGCACAGTTCGCGCATGTTAAGC